ATATATATATATATATATATATATATATATATATATGATTATATCAACATCTATGTCAATTTTATATCATTCCACAAACTTCCACCCTTTCATTTTCCCCCCCTAAGTCTTCTAAGCAACCAAACAACAAAAACTAAAGTGTGTGTATATGTAGGTTTATATACCTTGGAAATCCTAAGGATTGTGAGCTGTGAACTTCAAGTGTTGCAGCTTTTGAATGCTATTTAATCAGTGCTGAATTGTGTGAAGAGTGAAGATAATAAAAATGGCAAAATGTTTTGTTCCACTGTTGTTTTGTTTGTTTTCCACTTACTTGGAGAGTGTGTTACACGCGCTGTTATTGAGGAGTGTGGCTAAGTTTGGTGGAGAGACACGTCCTCACAAATCAGGATAACTCATTAACTCCTCTCATTAGCATGTGTCCCACTATCAAATGGGTCTTATCATGCACATTTTTTTTATACATAAATCCAAAAGGGATTAATTCTTTAGAAAAATGATTGATTAAGGGATCATTTCTTAGAGGTGGGATTCACTTCATGTAAGTATATACTTTATTTAATAATTTATATTTTATATTAAATTTTAATAATTAATTATTAAATTATAAAATTTTTAATACATAAATTAAATTAAAAAAATTTAAAATTTATTTAATACTTTATTTCATTAATTTAAATTGACGTATAAAATATTTTTATGATTATTTATTAAATTGAATTAATAAAATAAAATATTAAATAATTTTTATTTTTATTTTTTAAATTTTACAGATTTTATATATACATTAAAAACTTTTAATTTAACGATTAGATCATTGAAACTTAATATAAAAAATAAGTTGTTGAGTAAAATAAATCTTAGTAAACTTACTTTAAAAATGAGTGAATCCCTTCTTATTTCTTTATTCAAAGTATTTAAATTATATTATTTTAATAATTGATTGTGTGTATAATTAGTTATTATTATAATTGGTTATAATATAGATAAATTTTTATTTTAATAAATTCATTGAAAATTAATTTTATAATTGATTGTAATTTTTGGTGAATCAATTGTAAGATAAATTTTTAAAAAAATAATAATTATAATTTTAAACTTTTAAATTAAAGAAAATAATCTATTTTAAACTTAATTGTAATTTCGAATCAGTTGGTCCTCATCTATGTTGAAATGTATTGACATTGATATATTAACTGATTAAAAAGATCTTATTGAACCAAATCTACTTCCCATGTGCTAGATAGACTCAATAAAGTCATGAACTTGAAGACCCTCCAAACCTTGATTATTAAACTTTCTATGTAGGGGCTACTAGTTGAATACAACCAAGGATCATCTCATACATTAATATTTTTACCATCTCTCAGCTGCCATCTAATACCTTGTTTAACTATCATCCTTGAAGAGTGGATGCTACGTTGTGTAAAACTTGGATTATGACCCAAACTAGCTTTTAAGAGTCCTCTCTAGAAAAATATCTAGCTTTGAAAACTCTTGTAACAATAGAATCTTGGTCACATAAAAACACTCAACCTTGCTTTCCTAGCATAGCTAACAAGTGGTCTCAATTTATAGCCACTGAATTCCTCTTTTAGAATTCCTATTTTAACCCTACCAGAAGTTCATCATTTTTTGAATCTCATTGCCCAAAGTGAAAGGTAATAGAAATGTGCTCATGCAATCAAATGAAATTGCTTGAGCAACTGACTTGATAATGACTTCTCTTCCAATTTAGAAAGATGTTTATATAAAAATATCACATTAACATTTGTATATGCGACATATCTTTCTTTTATAATATATAATAGATAATAAATTCTTTTAAATTATATACATCATATTCTTTAAAATATAACTTATACATATATACCATTAACTTGTCAATGAGTTGTTGTGTGATGTTTTTAATTTAATTAGTAGTTTTAAGTTTGAGTGTATTATTATATTAAGTTATTAACGTTAGAGCAACTTTTCTTCATAAAAAAGTTTTTTCAAATTGGGAGATTATTTTGTCAACTATTTTGTAATTAATAAATGAATTATAAATCTTATTATATAAAATTATTAATGTTATAACAATTATTCCTTTTAAAAAAAAAGTATGCTCAAATTGAGACAATTCTGTCAAATATTTGTAACTCAATAAAAGAATTATAAATACATTAATAATAAATTTGTATTCATAAATTAACAACAATTAATTGTGGAATGAAATTATAGATAAAATTAAAATCTTATCTTATTATATAAAGTTGTTAACGTAGGAAGAAATTTTCTCCCTAAAAGTCTATCCAAATCGGGAGATAATTCTATAAACTATTTTTAATTAATAAATAGATTATAAATATATTAATGTTAAGATTTATTTATAAAATAGTTAAAATTAATTGTAGAATGAAATTATAGGCAAAATTCACATCTTATTATAAAAAAATTGTTAATGTTGGAACAATTTTTTTTCCAAAAAAGATGTATGTCTAAATTCAAAGACAATTGAATGAACTATTTTCAACTCAATAACTTTATTGCGTAAATTTCTTAACTTTGAAATAAATCTTTCCACCAAAAAGTCGGCCCAAGTTGAAAGATAATTCGGTCAACTATTTTTTTTTACTCAATAAAAGAATTATTAATACATTAATTTTATATTATCTTATTATATAAATTTGTTAACATTGAAACATCTTTTCCCTAAAAAAAAAACCCAAATTGGGTGACAATTTAGTTAACTAATTTTACTAAATAAAAGATTATAAATACGTTAATAATGAAATTTTATTAATAAATTAATTACAATTAATTATGAAATGAGATTATAGGCAAAATCTACATGATATTAAATTTGATATTAAGATCGTAAATCTTATTATGTAACGTTGAAACATCTTTTTCTCTAAAAAAAAAAAAAAGTCATCCAAATTAAAAGATAATTTTGTCAACTAGTTTTTACCCCATAAAAATATTATAAATACATTAGTAATAATATTTTATTTATAAATTAATTACAATTAATTATAAAATCTTATTTTATTATATAAAGTTCTTAACGTTAAAACAATTTTTTTCCAAAAAAAAAAATTGACCTAAATTAGAAGATAATTTAGTCAACTATTTTTTAATCAATAAAAAAATTATAAATACATTAATAATAAGATTATATATATATACACACTAATAATAAAAGGGATTGTCTTATTAAGGATTTACACTTTTTTTAACTTATTTTACTCTTAATAATTATTAAAAAAACTTTCATAAATATTAAAACAATAAAAATTATAAAACAATGGCTCAATAATTACCATTTTTCTTTAATGGCATATATAAAACTTATACACATCCACTAATTATAAACTAAAATTATTTTTAATTTAAAAAAAAATGAAACTAAAAATTAAGGTAACCACGAAGTGTATGTTTGATTACTCATTCACACACATTCCAGTTCACTCAAACAGAAAAATATGAGTATGAATGGATTGAGTTCAATGTAAATTAACCTATTTTAAACGGTAAAGCAAACATGCACGAAAAGGTATCATTGACCATGAGAAAATCACGTTTTGCTGAACGCGGTTTGGGGCCGCTGATATGAACCACCCTACACATCCATTTAATATGAACTTCATAGGGTCAAGAAAACCAAAACTATTTCCCTTATTTAATTTCCACCAAATTAATATTTAATCCAAAAAAACCAATTTTTTTTATGGGCATTTATATTCCCGTGGAAAGTGAATATTAATATTAATTATACACTATATATACTAAACTAACTCTCTTTTAGACCAGAATGGTGGAACTCCATTAGTGACTTGTCAAGTTTTTTGCTTTAAGGTTTTATGAATCATAGAGCATGGAGAGTAGATGGGTTTTGTCAGCCACAATATTCTTCATATATTTTGTCATTATGATGAATTGGAGCACCTACATCTATCGGGTTAGTCTTGTAATGGGTCTAATTATTTTAAATATGATTCTAATTTTTCTACTTTTTTTCTTCTTCTTTTTAATGGTTTGAATGTTTAATTTTGTTTTTGATGCTTAGTGTGCCTTTTAGTTTCTTATAACTGATTCTCTCTGTTGTATTTTGCTTCCTATTTATTTTTTATTTATTTATAGAAAAACAGTGTTGTTCAAAATGTAAACAGAGTGGATAATGGGGGAGTCCAAATAGGGTGAATCAAAGAGAGACATTGTGACAAGAGATGGAAAATAAGAGAGATAAAAAAAAAGAGTAATTAATAATTACCCAAACAGAGAAGCTGATTTCTCCCAGAAGAAAAAATAAAAACAAAAATTTTAAACTCTTTATGGGCACTGCCACTTATATATCCCAATCACACAACCAATGTTATCATAGTTGGGAGTGAAAAATTGTATAATTCATTCCACACACTCTTACATCTTATAAGGTCTTTTGAATTGAGATGTTATAAAACATTTTAGAACATTGTGAATGTGGAATGATAGGGCATATCCGTTTTTTTTTTTTTTTTTTTTACAGTTATTTAATTCAATTATTTATGGTGTATCATGAATTTTAATAATTTAATAATTCAATTAAAAAAATTTAATGAGTACATTAAATTTACAAGATTTTATAAAATTTTGAAAATTATTTGATATTTCGTTACATTAATTTAAATTAAATATAATATATTTTTATAATATTTGTTAATTTAAATTTATGTCATGAAGTATTAAATAATTTTCAAGTTTTTTTTTTAAATTTATAGATTTTATCTATTAATAAAAATTCTTCATTCAACCATTGAATTGTTAAAATTTGATATAAAATATAGGTTATTGAGTGAAATAATTCTATTAAGACATTATTTAAGGTTCAATGATATAATTGTGATCAAATCAGTATTAATAAAATAATAAATATTTAAATAATACATAAATAATATTATATAAACATAATATCATGATTTTATAATACTAAAATTAAAATAAAATATTATTTTATATATTTTTTTATTTTTTTGGAGTGCATACAAAAGTCTAAATATAATATTTAAATTTTATAATTTTAATAAAATATAACAATATATATACTCAATTTTATATTTAGAGTAGAAATTTTCAAATTAATATAATATGAAATATAATATATCATGATATAAAAAAATATAAATTAATATAAATGAAAAAATTATATCTTTAAAATAAAATTATTAGAAATATTAAATAACATATTTTATTCTAATTTATAATTTTTATTATATTTGTTTATTTATTTATTTATCGTAAAAAAATATTTAAGTAATTTTAAAAAATATATTTTTTTTAGAAAATTCAATTCAATCCGGATTAATTTTCACTAGTTTTTTTTTTGGGTTAGTTCATCCAATTTTTTATTAGTTTTTTCACATTCAAATTTTATGATTCTTTCTGACAGGTAAATTGACCGGTTAAGGTGATCAATTTGATCCAGTTTTGACAACATAAATAAATACACATATTAAATTAATTATATTTAAGTTGATATTACATATAAATTAAATATTAAAACTTTAACTCTCACACTTAAAGTTATATTTTCATCTCTTTCAAAGATGCATTTCACATACAAATTTTATAAATAACCAAAAAATTTCTCACATGTTATATTTAGATTTGAAAATTTAAAATTTGAGATGCTTGAATTTTTAATTATTTTAATTAAATAATTTAATTCAAAAATTTTAAATTTAAAACACTTAATTTCATCATATATACAAATATTTATTAATTTATGTTTAAAAGTTTGATATTTCAATATTAAATTTTATTTGAAATAAACATTAGTTAAATTTTAATGATTTAAAAATAAATAATATTTAGTAATTCAAATTTATAATATTTAATAATTAAAAATCAAATATTAATAAATTCTAAGAGATAAATGAGAAAGAAAAAAAGTAATGTATATATATACGTATGTATATATTCTTTGAAATATTAATTCAATACACCCTTTCATAAGTTATGTCCTTATAAATTTAAAATAATTAACTTAATTATTAATATTAAATTAATTAATAATTTAATTAGTGGTTGGTTTTAACCTTTTATGAGATTGTGTCACTATACCAAAATTTATTAATAGTGATAATTATTAAATAATAATAAATTAATTATGTCTATTTTATTATCTAATATAAGTATTAATGATTAATAAATAATAATCATTAAAAATAGTAATTATTGAAAATAGCTAGTAAAAAAGTAAGGTAACTTTTAATTCATTTTATTGAAAAAAATCTAAGTCTTACATCGAATAGAGATAAAACAGATAAAGAGTATTTAAGTGGAAAGAAATCATCACCTTACAACCCAATTTTGTAAGGTTAAATTAGACCTATAACTCACTATTGTAAGATGGTATCAAAATTAACCTAGATCCATACTAAAAAAGGTAACTCATTATTAATACATGTACCACATCTAATAATTTTGGACGTGAAGGGGTGTATTGAAAAAAACCTAAATTTTGCCTATCTTAGATCATTAAAAAAGGTCACCTATCATTTATTCATGTATCAAATTCAATAATATTGAATGCAAGATGGAGATTTATTAGAAAAAATTCAAATCTCACATCAAATAAAGATAGAAATAATTAAAAAATATATAATTTGAGAACATAAAATTTAAGAATATTTTCTTAAACTTTTAGTAACAATATTAAAAAGTCAATAAATAATATGTTAAACATTTAAAAACTAATATGTCATTATAAATGCCATTAAAAGATGTCATAAAAATTTATATATTTGTTTTGTCCAATATGAAATCCTTACTAATGCAGAATAATTATCTGTAAATGTTTACTAATATTGCATACAATGATTAATGTAAAAATATTAATAAAATATTTTGTAATTATTTTTATTATCACTAAAAATAATATTGAATGTCAGTAAAAGTCCTTTCTTTCTGGTATAGTGTGTCTTGCTCTAATATAATTTTTTCATTAAAAAATAAAATTAATTAATAATTAAGTGATTTTTTTATTGATAATTAATTTTAAAGTTTTATCCTTAAAATTATTTAGACTAATCATATCATTTATTCCCACCTGATTAGTTAACGTTTGGAAAAAGATAATAGTGATCACAGATAAGAAGAAACAATTTACAATATTTATTATTATTTTTTCTTTTCTAATTGTCTTTTAAGATTTTTATGCATTACCAAAAATAATGTAATAATTTTTCTCGTTCAAGTTAAAATATTTAGGAAGTTTTCTATTTTAACGTTATTTATTCCCAAGTGTCTTTTAAGATTTTTATGCGTTACCATATCGATTATTTTTCCATTCCACTTTCATGATAGATTTGTAATTAAAAATTGATAAAAATCATGTAGAATTGACCGAAAATAATTAATATTATCTTTAAATTTGAAAATCACACATAAGTAGTTTTTTTTTTTTCCTTCAAAATTTTGACACTTACAAAGAAGGAGTAAAGAATTGTAAAATGATTAAGAGTTTTTTGGTAAAAAATAATTAATATAAATACAATTTGAAATAAGACTAGTAAAAAAATTTTAGCAAAAAAGTCTTATATACAATAATGAAAGTAATACCAAGATGTTTTATTTATTATTTTCATAAATGACATTCAAATTAAGTTTTTCTTGAATTTCACTCAAACGTTTTCAATCTTCCTATATGACATATTAATAATAATGTTAAAATATAAGAAAATAATTTAGTAATATTTAGAAATAGTTTTCATATCTTTCATCTCATGATTTATTTCTTTATATAGTTACAAAATGAATTTAACTAGAATATTTTAGTAATGTAATTTTTTACATTATCACTTAATCATAAATTTATATGTATTAACAATTTTTGTATTAATTATTTTAAAATTATTTATAATATTTTGGTTAAATTCTAATTTTAATATTTTATATTTTTAGTTAAATTCATTTTGATCCTTTATTTGTCAAAAATATTTATTTTAACCTATTATTTTTTATATTTGGATCAATTTCACCCTTTTATAAAGGATTATTTTTAATTTTGTACCATGATATTTTTATTCTTTCAAAGCGTAAAACTTATAACATTTTATTTACTTACATAAAAATTATGAAATTCAATTGGTATAATCATAATGAAAATTATATAATAAATATATCTCACTAGCAAGTAGAAAATAATATGAAGCTAGGATTTTAAAATTTCTCAACTAATTTTTGGGCTTATGAACTTTAGTTGCGTTCAATCATTTTCATATAATTGAATCTAATAAAACAAATTTTAAATCTTGAATTAGTAAAAAAAAAATTAGAATTATATTTTAAAATTAAAAATAATCATTATTTCAAAAGGGTCAAATTGATAAATTTAAAAGATAAAGAATTAAAATGAATATTTTTAAAAAATAAAGAATCAAAATAAATTTTAAAAATAAAATAAAAGATTAAAATATAATTTAGTATTATATTTTCTAATTAATTCACAATGTGAATATCCAGTCACTATTGTCAAAATTAAACTCATAGGATTATGATGTATTAGAAGAAAAAAATATCATTTTTTAACACATTAAACATTTATTGTTTGAAATTAATATCTGTTCCGGTATGTCTAAAAGTCCCATATTGCTTAGGTGTCGAGGTTAAGGGTAGTTTATAAGAGCAACTCCAATGGGAGTTGCTTGTCCCATGAAGCAACTCAAGCCCCGGTTTCTTACTATTGGAGCACTCTGACGTGGCAACATGAGTTGCTTGAAGAAGAGAGAGGAGTTGCTTTTTCAAGCAACCGTTTTTTACCAGATTTCAAGCAAATCTTATCGAATATATTTGGAAACGTTTCAAAAATGATAATAATGAAAATTAATTTCGTATAATATCTATGTATTTATTATTAAATTTTACAGGAATATTTTTTACGAAAAAAATTAAAGAAATTACTATAAATTCTATCAATAATTTTTCAACTTTCAAATGCTCACAAGAGATTCATCCGAAACATTTGTTTCTATGCCTCCAACATGTGATACATAATTTTTTAGATTCTAAGATTGTAGATTATAAGCCTAAAACTCAATCATACAAATCAACTTGTAAGGTAAGTGTTGCCCCAACTTATATACTCTTTAATTGTTTTATTTTCAATCGATGTGGGACTTGAAGTTTCTTTAAAATATTAAACTTATAAATTTTAATTTTTTTTTATTTTTCCTGTGGATTAAAATTTGCAGGAAAATTCGCAAGAAAAGTTACCTGCAAAATTTTTCTACTATTTAGTAAACATTACTTGCGAATTTATTTTTGCAAGAAACAAAATAAAATTCTTACAATATTTTCTGCAAATTTTTATCATGGAAATTTTTTTTATGATTATTAAAATTGTAGCAAAATTTGTAAGAAATATCTGTAAATTATTTTTCGCAAATAAATTTGCAAAAATTTCTGCGAATATTTTTTTGCAAGAAAATTCACAAAAAATTTCTGCGAATATTTTTTTCAGAAAAATTTGCAAAAATGGTGCTAAAATAGGTCAGATCTGTTTGTTGCTTACATAATTACATTACTAATATATTTATTATGTTATAAAATTTATTTAGTTATTACTAATAAGTAGCAACCTGTAAACAAAAAACTTTATTTACCCACCTCTAATTATCAATAACTTATTTTACTCGAACAACTTTGTTATAAATTTTCCATGTAATAGTTTTTCTTTTTCCACATTATTTTCACAAAATAAGTTATCTTTCACCATAATTTCTGTTGATAAATAATTACTCTTTACAATGCATACAATAATACACATAACTATTTATAAAAGAGGACATGAGGGGAAGGGTTGAGATAGTTAGAAGCATGAGAATCTATGTTCAATCTTCATTGCGACCATTTTTATAATCTTTCTTATCTTTACCCAAAAAAAATAAAAGAGGACATGATACTCTTGAATTAGTAATTGTTATAAAATAGTGGCATTAATGAATAAATATTAATTAGTACCTAAGTCAAAACTGATAAAAAAAAAAGTAACATAATTTAAAATGAGAAAAATGAAAATATAGCGGTAAGTGCTTATATATATTTAAGTATATAAAAAAATTTAAAATTATTATAAAATTATTATTTATTGCAAGTTTATTAACCTTTTACAAATTTACATTAACAACTTTTACAATGACAGTTTATCACCGTTAAAACAAAAACTTAATGCAACATTCAATTTAAAAGGAAAAAAAATAGCATTCTTCTTAGTAATGGAATCTTAAGAAAACATATAGTAAACTGCATTGAATTTATGGTGTTATCTATCCGTGTCATTTCATTCTTTGTATATTACCTAATGTCCCTCGAAATCCCCAACCGTTAAGCATCGATCAGGATTCAGAATCAATGGAGAAGTCAAGAAGGTGTTGCGGAAAATACGCATTGATTAAGAGTTAAAATTTGCATTTACAAGGACATTGTGGTAGCTTAGTTGCTGTTGACCCGCTGAGGCGCCTTTTAAAGGAAAAAACCGTGACGATCCAATGAGTACCAAAACGGACAATATCTCGGGTACGCTGACTCGGACTTACGGTAGGAACAATATCAATTTCAAATTAGTCATCTATATGAAAAAAAGACGAAATTTTCAATCAAATCTTAGTATAAATTAAATGGAAACAATTTAAAATTTCAAATATAATAATAAAATAAAAGTATAACATAATGGTTGGTAATTTGCTAGCAAGATACATGTTAAAGTTTCTATCATCTAAAAATCAAATAAAATCAAGTCTTGAATATATAATTAAACGTCCAAAATGATCTGCCTTAACCAATCATAATTCCAGAAATGCTATTTCTGCCTAAAATTTTTAATCTGACTAAACTCATGTGAAAACTTAAAATAAAATTCTAACTCTCAACGAGATATATAAGGTAGAAAACACATAATTTTGAATGATAAAATATAAAGCAATTACAGAGACGTAAAAATCATTAAATAAAGAAGATAAAATTGAGAGAACAGAACAAACTCTTACCGAATAATTTTTTATTCATATATAAGAAAAATACATAAAAAATGAAAATCATACATCATCTATCATCTTTATATATTGTCACTAACACACATATATCTATTATTATTAAGTATGTAGATTTGTTCAAAATCAAATACTTAACAAGACTTTATCCACAAAAATAAATAAACATAAATATAAAAGAACTTTACTCACTAATACAAACAATTATAATTAATTAAATTAGTAAAGAAAATAAATGAAAAATTTTACTAGCTTAACATGTACAATATAATTCCATGATAACTATTTTGATGATTTTGGAAATATAGTAAACAATAAGCTAGAAACATATATCAATGAGTACACCTTCTGTTGTTGTATGATTCTATCTCTTCTGAGAGATCCAACAACAGATAGTATCATTTTTTCAATTTCATATCATAGAAACACATAAAATTGTTCAGCTACATATCAATACACTTCATCATATAACATTTCTTATGCACTCAACAGTATCTCGTCTAGCAGTGATCACAATTGTTTTATTTATTGTCTTCCAGTTCAAAGCAACAAGCACCAATAATTTTTCCAAAAAAACAATCACAACCTTCAGAAGGAAACAAACTCAATTCCCTTTGAACTGCTTCAATGGAAACATGACATTAACCTGTCCAAAGGATTATTACCCTACAAGGTTTGAGCAATATCAAGACTCATCAACAGAATCAACATGTCCAGAGTACTTCAAATGGATCCATGAAGATCTAAAACCATGGAAGAGAACAGGAATCACTAGGGAGATGGTGGAGAGGGGGCAAAATGTTTCACACTTTAGGCTTGTGATAATACAAGGAAAAGCTTATGCAGAAAAGTATGCATATTCTTATCAGACTAGGGATGTGTTCACAATATGGGGAATTCTACAACTTCTAAGGTTGTACCCTGGAAATATACCTGATTTGGAGCTGTTGTTTGAGACCGGGGATAGAACTGTGGTGGAGAAACAAAATTTCCAAGAATCACCACCACCACCTATTTTTCATTATTGTGGCCAGAAAAATGCTTATGACATTGTCTTTCCTGATTGGAGCTTCTGGGGTTGGTAAAGTTTCTACATTTAATTAATTTCTTGTGGTTTCAGTTGATATTATTGTTAGGATTTTCGAAAGTTAATTTTTCTAACAAAAATATTCATGATAGATAAGAAAAGAGACAAACTAAAATGAAAAAATGTCAATTAGGAAAAATTATTACGTAATCTCATACCAGTATGGTTTTGATAAATTTTTATGTGAATATAAAATCTTGTTAACTTTTTCTCATAACGTGAATATATTCAATTACAAGTCATGTACATGTAGACATTTGTCGAGAGTGTGATCTCATGATACTCTCGCATCATATGTAATAATTTGTGGTGAATTATATACATGCACTATCCAAGTGTCCATTTATCATTACTTTTCTGATAAAAAAATTTCAGTGTTTATCTGATTTTGTTTCAAGGACTTGTCCGATTTCATTCTTGTTAACTTTCTTTGGGAGAGACCCCATCATTTTTTCATAAATCAAGTTGTGTTCTTCTCTTATATATTTGACATTTTCTTTTTCATATTCTCAATTCTTATGCATTATATTTTTCCCTTTGATTTCAAGGGCTGAGCTTGCAATAAGACCATGGGAGGCATTGCTGCAGAGCATAGAAGAAGGCAACAAGAAGATCAAATGGAAGGATAGGTTACCCTATGCTTTTTGGAAGGGCAACACAATGGTGTCCTACAAAAGGTATGATCTCACCAAGTGCAACGCTTCAGACCAACATCACTCGTATGCTCACATATATCCTCTGGTAAATATGTAATGCCAAATGAAAATATTACCATATAGTATGTGAAAACCTTCGACAAACATATAAATATAATGAATCGTTTGTTTTTAGAGCTGGGATAAGGAGATTGAAAGAGGGTTCAAGAACACAAAGCTAGAACACCAATGTGTCCACAGGTAATTAACTATCTAATAATTTTTCTTTTGGTCCTACTACTGGTATTTGCTAGATGAATAGGCGTGAGACCAATCAAATTTGTGAAACTATGAATATTATTGACTTAAGAATTTTTGCATATGATAAAGATTAAATTAGAGATTCTTTATTAAATATCTGATCGCAAAATATCTAATCACTACGTCAATCTATGAGATTAATTATCTAACAAAATTTTGATGCCCTTTCTTAAGTTTCTACAACTTACTGTTATGATGTGTTATTTAGTAGATTTGATTTGTGTGACTTTTGAAATGAAGGTACAAGATTTATGTGGAAGGAGTAGCATGGTCTGTGAGTGAAAAGTATATATTAGCTTGTGACTCCATGACCTTGTTCATAGAGCCTATATTTTATGATTTCTTTACAAGAAGCTTGGTACCTAGGAAGCACTATTGGCCCATCAGCAACACCAACCAAAGCATGTGCAATGATATTAAGTATGCTGTTGACTGGGGTAATGCCAATCCAGACAAGGTAAATAGACAAACAAAATTTACATACAATTTTTTTTGGTGCTTTTAGTTTATTCATCAGAATTAAAATTTTATTTTAAAAATTCGTGTAACAACCAAGGTTTACATTAAAAGTAAATATAGAATGTTATTCTGGTGTTGACTGATTTCAATTTATATCTAATCAAATACTGTTAATTTTTTCATGTAATTTGAAAAACTTAATACATGACAGAGAGATTGGACAACAACATGAACATTTTATAATTTAAGACTATTTAATAATTTCTCGTTTTATGCCAATGTATTTTACCAGGCAGAAGCAATTGGAAAAGCAGGGACAAGCTTCATTGAAGAGAACCTAAAAATGAAGTTTGTGTATGATTACATGTTTCATTTACTGAATGAATATGCAAGGCTTCTGAGATTTGAACCAACCATACCTGCAGGAGCTGTTGAGATTTGTTCTGAGAATTTTGCCTGTCCCTTGAATGGTATATGGAGGGAGTATATGGTTGAGTCCATGGTCAAGTCTCCAAGTGATACACCTCCATGTACAATGGCTTCACCTTATGGTGAAAATGAGGGTGAGGAAAAATAAGCTATGGAAGAATGGTAATTTAGATAAATGGGAAATATTTTATCATTTTTTTTGTTGTAAAATAACATTATTATATATACATGTAGCCAATCTAACAGAGGTAGAGCTTTGGGGCAATGTTTTTGAAAATAAATATATTGAACAATTTATCAATTTTATATAAACTTGTTAGTTGTTATGCCTATAATAAGTCAAATTTCAAATTCATTTTTCTTGTGGATATCATTTTCACAAGAATTGCATATTTTTACCAAATTGTTAATTCTTTCCATTGATTAATTAATTGAAACTCGCACACAACTCGCTTTCGTGATATGTTTTCTGCTCACTCAAAATTTATATTTTTCTATAACAAATTGCAACAATCATTTGAGTTAATAATTTTCTTTTATTTTATCAAGTTTTCGTACTATTTTATGTACTCATGGAGGAAAACAACTGAGATTATATATCGAAACAGATCGATAGAGTACGCATTCTCAAATTTTAAGTCGTAGTTGCCATTGACCAATGATAATGACATATACATGCAGTTTTTTTTTTTTTTTTTTTAAGTAGGTTACAACCAAGTCAACTTAAATCAATAAATCTTCATGTATTTATCATAATCTTCACCACTATGTCAAATTTTGTTAGAAATCTTATATCAGCTAGGTATAATACTAAAATAATATATATAAATACAAAATAATTCTCTTTTTTTAAGTTAATTTTGTAAATTTAAATTAGATTTAAAATTATATTTTAAAATAATAGAACTATCTTAATAATTACCGATTATTTTTTAAGATTATCTGAAATTATTATCAAACTACTCACTAATTATAAATCTTGTAAATTTCATGTTACATGAGTATAATATATAGTTCACACATAACTATTTTATAAAACATGAAAGATACTCAAGAAAATATGAAGAGGCTAAGCCGATAAAATCGAAAGTGACTTGATTAAGTTTTTCATTTTTGTCAATGGATGGTTGGTGCTATATATATATTATAATAAGAGTTAAGAAGGCTCAAACTCTAGAGAGAAAGGCAACTAGCAAATAGCAATCGTATATATTTTATTTTTGTTTAATTATTTCAAGACAAAAGACACATCCATCTTGATCTTTTCATAGTTTCAAGGAAATGTCCATTGGTTTTCTAAGATCTTTAATTTCTTGAAGTAAATGAGAATGCATTTATTTGTCGATCTTTAGATTCAAAGACTATTGAAGGAAAAGGCATGTCTTTGATTTATGGTCTTACTGGCTACAAGACAAATTAGAAGACTTGGGATATATTACATTGACTTTTCAAATAGAGTGACTTAAAGATATGATACCTACCTTATAGTTTATTAATTATATGGAATTGTATATTTGGATTATGGAAACAATGACGATTCTTTAAATATTTATAACCTTATCATGTTGTTACCACATCCAGTCATCATATATATTTTTGGAAAATATAATAAGAATATTGTTAACCAGAGTTTGAGGACATTAATTAAAAATTTAATAGTTTTTTTTTTTTATATTAGAAATAAGGTGGGATTGTATTAGAAATTATGAAGAAACGTGTTACTAACACTTGTGAAGAAGAAATATTGTTCTTGTCCTTAACTAATGTCTGAAAGAAAATTATTATCATTTTCCATATAATTAAATATATAGAGGAGGAAACGTGACTCACTATATATTATAAACATGATTAACATTTTTATTCTAGTGAAAATTATATATATATATATATATATATATATATATATATATCATTCACAATAAATAATTCTGTTATATAAACATAACATGACGGGGTTGAATCTTTCAACAAGATTGATTTTGATACGTAGTATTTGAATCTAATATTTTATATAAGGAAAATTAAACATGAATTATTTAAACCAACCACTCGTTAATATTTTTATTTAGACCAAAAACTTTAAATTTAATTAAAATATTATGAGAGAAAAGGATATATTTACACATAGAGAAAAAATATATTTTCCGCGAAAATCTGTTGTTAAATCGCTCAAAAAGTAATTTGACCAAATGAAAAATTTAAACACAAAAGTATAATAAGCTTTTAACATTAATTGAAATGTTTTAATACCTAAAAGTCTTAGATTAGTTATATTAAAGTCTCAGTAAGAGTTTGGTTGAGTAGAACACTTATTATAAATTATCTAGCATATTAAATTCAAGCATGATAAATAAAAACAAGTCTTTATAAGATTTTTTTATTCGATAATCAAGTTAACCCTTTGCTAGTTACTCTTTGACCACCCTTTACTCAACCCTAGCTAACTTCGCCCATACTAAGACTTGTTATAAAAATCTAAATAAAAATAATGAGAACACTTATTGTCGTTGTCATTCTTATACGAATATAAACTATAAATATAAATACAGAACGGAAAATTAAACTTAAACTTATCATGAAACCCCAAACACAACAATGTAAGAGTCAACGCTCAACACTATGGCCTTACTTAATTAAAAGAGATATTGGCCCGTTTACTATGTTTTTTCCTTAAAAAAATTAATCAATTTTAAAAAAAATTCATACGTTTGTTTCAAATTTCCAAAATAAAGATTAAAAAACATAATATCTAATCAAAATAGAAGCTATTTTGAATAAATTTTCATAAAATTAGTCACTTCTTTAAAAAAAGAATAGTAATTTTATGATTGTGAATATATATATATATATATATATA